CAGTTCTGGAAGGCTTTTGAGGTTGTTTTACTGACCGCAGCAGAAACTCAAATAAGACTGCGCCATGTATTCCTCAACGATTGAGTCTGGCTGATCACGTGTGGAAAGCTGGAAGAAGCTGGAAGTCGGACTGGTCTTCCATTGTGGACACTCACGACTCCTATGCAGCGTGTTTTGCTCTTCAACTCAGTGAGCGAAAACCTGCTTCCAGCTCTCTGCACCCAAGGCTTGTCATAGCCGCGTCCCATTCTGGTTTGTTGAAGAGCTCGTCGATGTTCCAGATAGCTGCCACGGCCACCACCAAAGCCTTGATATATCTTGATATGTCTTTGAGCTCTTGCCCTTGCCTTTCTTGCCGTTGCCTTTTCCTTTGAAGGCCCTACGATCGGTGGTCTCGAGGAAGATCTCTTCAGTGTTGTTGGAGATGTGCGTGCTCCATAGCTTCAGCCTCAGTGAAAGATCATTTGTGTCTCCCAACTTCATTGAGGCACACCAGGTCTGAAAGCAGATCCTCTTCCTCGACATAGGTCTCCGCGCCCGAAAAGTAGTCATCAAACTCATCGCCATTCTCCCATGGTTCATCATAGCACCCCAGAACGTAGCACCGCGCCATGGTCGAGGTGTATGTTTATGTTCTCCTCCATGTTGGTCATCAAGCTTGTCGCCAAAGACCTTCTGAATCGCTTTCTCGATTTCGATGTAGTCGATGGAACCATTTGTCACCACCTTCGGCCTTTGTCTCTGATCTTGAGTGAAAGACGGTGTCGCCCAGCTGCAGAGGCAAGTAGGTCCAATCCTTGTTTAGTTCAGCAAACGCAGCTTTCTTGCCGGTCAGGAACGATGTGAGCGATGTTCCACGATCCCGTCGGCCTTTGAAGATAGCATCATCGAATGCTTGTTCCAAGCTCTGGTCTTTCAAATGCTGATGGGCCTCCTCAATGATTTTCAATATGACTCTATGGCCATCATCCGCACAAATCTCATCAACCGTCAAATGACCGAGGAGTGCACTGAGTCGACGATGCCTTGCCAATCAATGAACTTGGAATCCGCGCTTCAGCCTCGACCATCCACGGTGCCACAGGCATAGCTTCCTGTGGTACTCTTTGTAATTCTTCTCAGGAAAATCTCCGCCCCAGGCTGGAGTCAACATGTCGTCGAGATGGTCCTGACTTGGGGAGTGCCCCGACGCGAAGCACCACCACTCCTCCATGGATCCTGCTCTTGGAGAGGATCATACTGGTAGTTCTGGCAGTCCAGGATCAGGTACCTCAGGTAGTCCCGAATACTGAACTTATAGGACTCCAGGATCAGGGGCGGCCAACCACTGGCATAGGTGAGGGAGGTGCCGCTTCTGGAGCCGCCGCCGCGCTTGTAATCGGTGGGGTCGGGGTGCTGGTGGTCGAGGATGAAGTTCGGCCAGTCCATGTCCTATGATTTGAGGACGTTGTGTCATGGCATGCACTGCCAGTCAAACTTGTAGGCCAAGAAGAGGTCAGCGTCCAAGATGAACACGTGTAGACCTAGGCCCGCTATGACGGTCAAAGACCAACCAAGCAACAGCAGCCGAAGAGGTGGCGGGCGTTGAAGTCGGCTGAAGAAGGTCAGAGACCAAGCAAAACAAAGAAGAAGCGACGCTGAGGCCGTAGGGCTCGTTTTGAACTCGTAGGTGAAGAAGAAGTCAGCCTTGACGGCCTTGAGGGTGAAGTCCAGCTACCGGGGCGTCCCCCGGCGGATGGCAGAGCCGGGATCGTCACCCCAGCTCCGCTACCACTGAAGAACCGCGGAGAAGCGCGAGGCGAACCTGTATCGCGGAACGAGTGGCTCAAGTGCCCTCCGGATTGGAGGTCGCGGTAACGGCTGTGGGACATGACAGGAGCAGGGCAGGTGCAAGCATAGTTACTTTCTAAAGCGAAAAAACTTGCAATCACTCTCGTGGACTCATTACGTCAGTCTTTTACGAAGGGCCAAGGCGGCAAGGAAGGCCGTTCCAGCTTTCCTCGGCCATTTGTTATCCACCTCGCACCGCAGGCAAGGCGCCGTGTTAGCGCTCGAACTGGGAGGGTGGCTGGGGGGGGTGAGTGTGAGCGCTGGTTCCGCGCTCGCGGCTGGATGTGCAGACGGCGTTGCGCCACCGCTGGGGAACATGCTGTCCGTCGTATGCGGCGTCACTCACTCCTTGAGCTCAGCGGCCCTCCCAACCTGGCAGAAGGGAGAATGTGCCACAAAGAACATGCAATGTACCACACTACAGACATGACTGGTTTAAGACAGCGCCAAGGTCACATGTGAATTAAATGCTAGCAAACCAGCGCAACACGGTCCCTTGCCTGTGGTCGAAAAGGCTGGAGACGTAGATTGCGAGGTGTTGTCATCCTGCAAGGAAACGATCGGAAGGTAGCCCCTGCTCAATTTCAAGTCAGCAAATGGCCTCCTGGCATCCAAATAATTATGTTTCATATGTCTGGTACTCATCAACGTCCCACGACTCGGAGGTGGTCACGAATCCTTCTTCTTCTTCTTCCTCCTCCTCTGGCTCTTCCGTTTGGAAGTAGCCAGCATCGTGGTCGAAGTTGAATCATCTTGGTGCGAGGACTTGCTGGGGCTGTCGCTCTCAAGAAAGGGCGGGTCTTCACAGTAGCCGTTTGCTTGCGGAAAAGGATTTTTTTGCGCGATTTCCTTTTTGTGAGTCGGAACCTCGCGTGTCCGCACTTCGTGCTACCATAGCTTTTGCATGGTAGCGGAGCTATGATCCAACCGGGTCATTTCCAACATGCGTGCCACTGCGAATCTTTTTCACCACAACTTTGGCACACAAGCAGCAGCAACAGCATTGCATACAACACCCACTAGAACACACAGCTCCATCGGGTTGAAAAACAATGTCCGGTGAAAAGACCTGAACGGAGGTAGCTTGCCGCCCCAACATGGCGCAGGCGGCCTGTCATGATACTTTCGCTCTTTTGGTCTATGTTTGCCAGTATGGAAGCCTTCGGGTTGGCTGCAGCAGTAGGGCCCGGCAGGCATCAACCTGCCCACGTGATCCGCATCAAAGTGGACAGAGGTAAAGGGCCACGAAAGCATGACCATCAAAGAAAAGCATCGTCGCAATTTTGTCTTCACACAAATGGCGCGCCACGAAGCAACTGGTAGGTGAGTAGTTGCATGCCTTTCGATCCCCTTTCGATCTTGAGGTCTGTCGGCTCCTTTGGTCTGCAATTTTGGTCCTGGTGCTCAAGTTTCTGCAGGTTTGTCTTCGATCTGTCAACATCTTTCGGAAACTGCTGGCTGTAACGAGCACACAACCGCTCATACAGTTTGTCTTAGATCCGCTCGAATTGATTCCATCGAATTGACCACCTTCTTTCCTGTTGCTGACCCTTCCGCTTGCGGAGAGCCACCAAGACAACCTTGCACTTCATTCCTGTGGGCCACAATGGCAGATGTTGCTGAAGCCCTTGTGGAAATAACGGAGACCCGCAACAATCAGGCACGGAAGGTTGGTTGGATCAACTTGCCCCTCGCTACCGGCGCCGTTGGCCGGTAGGGAGCCTGCGAACACTTTCTCCGGACGCTTGCCGTGGGCCGCGGTCAAGCGGCCCCGTCCCCGGCCTACGAGCAGCTTCACCTTGGGGAGCTTGCTCTCCCTTTCTGCGCGCGACAGCTTGGCTGCCACGTCCCCCTGCAGGGGCGGCACGCCTCCACTGTTGTACATCCCTTTGCCACCAAGAAAGCTAAGGTTGGGCCGCTCTTTGCTCTACATCCTGTTTGTCCACTGCCAATGGCTTTGACTGGGTTGCGCGTTCCTCCAGACTACGCCCTACGCCAACTGAAGTTGATGAAGTGGCGGAGTTGAAGGAGGCGCTCCAAGTTCCCAAGAACTCTGTTCATCGCTGTTCTTTGAGTGCTTCGGAACATCCACTGCTCCTCCGACGCCGCCGCACATAAATGGAGCGTGATCAAAACGGAGAACTATTGCCACGCAGGCGGGTCCTGTGCACGGATTCCCGTGGGGGCTTCGACGCTGGAGCGCAATATTTTTTTGACTAGACAGCTTGTGAAGATAGGCTGGGCAATCGTTCAATCTCCTGATGAGATGTATCATGGGCAGCACTCCAGGCTTTCCATCTACGGGATAGCCTTCAGAGGGTCGACTCTGAATTTCGATGGCTTGCATCATGCATCGGACTACGACCTGGAGGATGCCCTGACAAAAAAAGAAGGCTGAATGTCGTGCCCATGAACTTTGCCCGCGGACGACCGTGAGCACGATCCTGAAGATCGTGACGTGGCAGCGGTTGTTCAGTCATGTCCAGGTCTGATGATGCACTCGGTATATCTTGGCCCAAATCCTAGAGGGGGCCCTTTTGACCGACGGAAGCCATAGGCTGCTGGAGCGCTTGAAGAAGGCGCTGGTTGGAAAAGGTGCAGGTCACCTTTCCTTACTTCGTGATCGTCTTCTTCGAGCACCTTTATAGTTTGAGCTCCAATACGCTACCACTGCAGCACCCGCTGCAGATTGTCAATGATGTGCGGGTGTGCACATTGAAAAATTCTGTGGAGGTGAGGCCGTTGAGTGTGTGGTGGGACGGTGCGAGGATCACTGTGAGGGCTTGCCCTGAAGCAAGCATAGACAAGGAACGACACGCACAAAATTCAATGCAAACAAAGCTCAGTCAAAACCATGATTTCAGAGCAACACCACCTGAGTTCTTCGCCGGGGCTTCCTGGCTCAAAACCGGGGTCACGCTTTCAACAATCATAGGCAAATCCAATGTTCACCGTGCTAGCTCATAAATGAAGCCGCTGTCCTCACCAGAGGTGCGGCAGAACAGAAAAAGAGTTGGGACCCTGTATGCTCAGCAACTCCGTGGTTTGTCGAAGGGTGTTTTTCAAGAAAGTGATCGGTAAATGAATTGTTCATATCATCAGGTCATGGGGTGTCAAGTGCAAAGCTTTGTTTAACTTTGTTTGATGTGACCCAGCCAGCAACAGTGTACCTAAACGCAGCATGCCAAAAATGCATAGATCACTCGTTGCATCATGAGCTGTGGCTGCCGGCTTGCGAGGATGGCCGTGTTTCTGCATTGTGTTGGAGGTGTTGTTTTTCCCATGCTTGTGAAATAATGAGGATGTACCCCCCAAGTGACCATTGTCAGGACGATGTTCAGATGTTGCAGTGCTGCTTTTCATGCAATCTATTCCATTCTTCGCAACGGATTGTGGGATGATCCTGCTGAAGCGGTGACGGGTGCCGTCTACAAGGAATTCTCCAAGCAAGTGGAGGCAAAAGGCATCCATCCCAATGCAGCAGTGTATTTGACATGGCGCTATTGCTATTTGAAATGCTTTATTCTGATTGGTGTGGTGTGGGCTGTTTCTTCCTGGTCATCCTGGCTACCTGATCGGGCATTCCTCGACAACTTTGTGCGTAATTTGCCGGAAGAGATACAAGCAAATCGCTTTGAGACGTTCATAGTTGTCATGTCCTGGTGGGATCCTGCCCTCATTTTGGTTTGGTTGAGCTCGTTTTTGGTCGTCCTATGCTCAATTTTTTTGGCTGCTCCTTCCAGAGTGCTGAAATACAAGAACAGTCATTTGTCACGGTATTTGGTTTGGGGAGCGTGGCTTTGGAACTTCGCACTTCCTTTTGCAGCGCTGCTGCTCTTTCCCATCCGATTCACGATTGATTGGGCTGGTGTGCAAGAGGACCTAGCCTCGATTCCATGTTTGGTTTTGGGCAACGTCAATTATGGGCGTGTCTCAGACTCCCCCCAAAATGCTCAAGTTCTCTGACTCTACCCACCAGGCATCACAGAGCTATGGGATGCTAGGTTTTTGGGGATGTTGTTTTCCCGTTCATGCAGATGCAAAATCTTAATAGTGCTAGCTTCGAGGGTTCCGTTGCTTCAGCGTCGGAATGTGGCCTCCTGGAGGACTTGTGTGTTGTGGCCGTGGCGCGAAGCATGAACTCAGCTGGAACGGACTTGAATTCTGCTGTTGAGCAGCTGCAGCAGCAGAAGCTCCTTGCCCACAATGTCCAGAGCTTGCTAGTTTCCCAGGACACTTGATTGGCGTTGTTTTTCTTCAATGTTTTTTTCAATGTTTTGGTGGTTTTGGAAGGAATATCCGAAACTCGGGCATGTTTTGAGCCGCAACATGTCGACTTATCAGAGAACCCAAAAACTCTGAATGATGGGCAGGAGGAGCAGCGGCAGGTCACTGAAGTTTCAGCCAGGGCATGGTGTCAGGAACAGGGACAAGATTGGTTCCAAGTCTTCTGTCAAGAGGTGCGAATGCTGTCCATTCACCACATTGGAATTCATCAGTTGGCTGGAGTGTGCAAAATGTTTGCCTCATGTTAGTGAAAAACATTGAAAGCAAACTCTCCAACACTCGCAATAGGCCCACATGTGATTCACCCCCCCTCAGATCATGGAATGCGTGGTTACAGTGGACCAACGCTGCCGGGCAGAGGTTTGCCCTTCTGCACCTGATGAGGCTGGGTTTGGCCTTGGCAAGACAGGTTCCATGAAACCGCATTGTCTGACTCTTTTCATTACAGTACTTTGAATGGCATGTGTTGCTTTTGGGGGCTCTAGATGCGGAATGGGTCGAGTCAAATCCTGGCAAGTTCCAAGAACAAACCTGAAGAGTATAGGTCGAGTCAAACCCTGGCAAGTTTCAAGAACGCAAGACACCTGAAGAGTTTTTTGTCAAGCACTTACTTGCTGGCCTGTGATAGACCGATAGATTCATTTGACATTAGCAACTTGGTCATTGAATCCCCTACGCTGAGCATTCGCAAAATGGCCCCTTCCAATGGGCGCATTGTTGTGGCACCCGGTGCACCGCAGCACATCCTGGACATGTGCCGTTCTGCGGCACAAACGTCGAAAACTGCCGCTCTGAGTGGACGATACAAGATGGATAGCCTTCCAAAAAACTTGGTTGCGCCGAAGGCACCGAGACGGCCGCACACCGAGCAAAAGGGACGTCGCCGCCGCCGGCAGGAGCCGAAGGAGCCAAAGGACATTATTCGGTCCACCAGCGCAAGCAGCATTGGGACTCTCTTTTCTGGAGAGCGTGTGGGGGGGCACCTCCCCCGAGGCTCGGCTGTGATCTTCCGGCGTCCTCATCGGTCAAAGGTCCCGCCGCACCAACGACCAATCTTTCTCGTAAAGGAGAATGGGGTTGATCCGAAAGATTGCATGGACATTCACAACCCTAAGCGCTTTTCAAGCATCGAGCGGTCCATGGCTTTGCGTGGCATCCGGCACTTGAACCCTTTGCCTTCTTCGGCCCTGCCTTCGGCCCCAAGCTCCCGTCCCAACTCGGTTGCCAGTTGCTCCAGCCCCATCCCAGACTATCCTGTCATGCCAGCTTTCCGACCTATGAGCCAGTGCACATGAATGTGCACCGTAGGCCCCGCAATCTTGTTTCACCCAGCCCACCTCTCCAAACTGGCAGAGCTTGGCGGATCAGCATTTGCAACATTTTGTGCCGATTGGACGAGCTGGTGCTGGTCACAATGCCGTAGAGCATTTGTGCCGGAATTGAATAATTTCCACGGGCATCATGCTTCTAAGCATGTTGATCTTGAATGATGTTGTGCAAGGTCTGCGGGTTCCTCAAAGAGGGGTCTCAAAGAACCTGCCATGTGCGTGCACCTCGCAGAAACTTGCGAGAAACACTTCTGCGGATTTGTTTGCAGCAGAAAATCGTACGATGTCGCCTTTGAGAGTGAAGCATGTCCACCTTCCAATTGAGCCAGACAGCTTCTTGAAGTAAACCTTCTTGAACCAGCTGATGCCCAGGAGTTGAGAGATTGCCTGGGACAGTGCTTGGAGTACGCTCAGCGTGGCAGTGTCGGCCAGCAGTTCATGGAGTCCCTTTCGCAGTGCCACTCAGTTGAGCGATTGGCTGTGGGGGATGGGTGAGGAGTCGGTGAGGAGAGGAAATAGCTTGTGCTATATATATATATACCCACCAATCATTCATCCAAAGCCTCTGAGGTGGAAGTTTGCCATCACACTTGAAGGCACCGCGTGGAAATTTTTCCAATGCCTTGCAGAACATCTCCCAATGCGGTGGAAGCATTGATCTGGAGGCCCAACAAGTTGAAGTGCTTTCGTAATCCTTCCCGCTTTGTGCCATTCATTTCTAGGTGCTGCAGCTGATGCAGCTACAGCAGGAATTGAACTACAAGGACCAAGACTGCAATATGGATCAAATGTCCCAAAAAAACATCTCAAAAGGGTGCTACCGCACTTACTGCCTCACTTAAATGCTAGTATATCCTTTCCAGTCTCCAGACAGTTGCTTGTTCTTTTTTTCTGATGTTCCTTGTGCTTCCAGACCTCTCAAGATTTCGTTCGCACTTTCACCTCCACAATTCATGCAAAGACGTGTCTGAATGGGGGCGCAGTAGCTGGCGCCCAAGGGAACGTGGCATGTTGCTCAGGACCAATGTACGTACTCATCCCTGGCGGTTGACCGGGTTGGCATCTCGGAACGGGGCCAGAGTTTGCAGGGTTTGCGTTTGAAATGCCATGTCATCGTCCAGGTCGAGTTTGTGGCTGGTGCCTTTGTGGGAATTAATGCAGGCATGCTGCTGTTGCCAAGTGCCCTTTCAATTTTGGGTGGTCTGGCGGAGTCCATCTTCAACCTCAAGGTGCGGCCACACTGGGTTTGGTGCAGCTGTTTCTTGATCAAAGTAGACATGCTTGTGACAAGACTGCGAACCTTGCCAGTTTTTGCATAGCAACCGAATGTGCTTTTGGACTTCTGGAAGTGCAGGTGCTACTTCCTGGACATCAAGAATTTCCGTTTTTGCTGCTTCTCACTTCCTTTGAGGCGCTACCAATCTACGCAGCCTTGCTGGCGGCAGCGTGGCTAGAAGTTTTGTTGCTTCCGGCTTCCGGCATTTTGCCGAGAACGTAAGGAGGAACAAAGGCAAAGCAGAGGCAGGACCAGCTTGTAGGCTTGGGAGATGCTTGTTCGTCTAGTGCTAGGCGTCCCCAACTGCCTGTTGCCGCCCCAACTCCCTACAAGCTATTGGCACTGAGGTTGTGCAGCAGAGCTTGGGAGACAGTGTCCTTTTCGCAACGAGCCTGAACTTAGAAATGCCATGGAACATGCTTTCTGCTTTGTACTTTACATGCATCAAGTGTCACAAGGGCGGGTCAATTCCAAGCCATTTCGTACAAAATGACTCAGGTTGCTTGCTTGGCTTTCATTTGCTATGTGGGGCTTCCAGCTCTTACTGGGTGCCTTACACGCCACCTGCGTCCTGGACCTGAGCACCGGTGGCTCTTCTACCGAAGGGTGCGCCAATGCTGCCGGGGGGTTCGTCCCATTTTGCTCACAAATTGCAAAATGTGTGCCACCTCCTGGCTAATGGGTTCTTGCAGCACTAGACCACCTCCAGACTGGCCCGCAAATAATGCCTCAGGGATTTGTGATTGTCGTCTGTTCCAGATGAGCGCAGTCTTTGTTTGAGGCTGAACCTTGGAGGAAATGCTTGTCCCCCTTGGGCCAGCAATTGGTTTGAAACAGTTTTAAACATAGCACGATACAACCTCTCCCTCTCTATATATACGCACCTCGTGTATGTCGGGAATAGTGAGAGGCAGTCATCAAAAGTCGCTGCCAGGTCTGGCTTGAGTATAGTTTGCGTGCTGCCTTGGTCTTGGTGATGTTCATCTCCTTTGGTAATTATCTGAGGCACGCTGTCCTTTGGGAGCCAGTAAGAGTTGCCTTCCACGCAATGCTCAAATTTGCTTGAGTCCAAAAATGTTAAAAGTTGAAAGGCTCGCATTGCCAGGAATTTGGTCGGCGAGCGGTTTGTACAGGACCACCCGGTGAGATTGTTGCAGCTGGGCGGCACTACCAACTGTCGAACGTTAGGCTGCCCTTAGTTGAATCTTCTTTTCGAGATTCCAGCACTCAGACGTCAGATCCTTCCAAACTTTTGGCCTGCTGCGATGCTTTCAGTCAACTTTCATCGTTGAGGTTGCTTACAACTTTAAGCTACTTCACACGCAAAAGCTTGACCGCAGTGGCCTCCACAGACGCTGCTGTGAGTGCCTTCCTCCAGTGCGAGCATTGGCGGAGGTCCTTTGCAGCCGAGGATCGGAAGGCCAACGAGGCAAGGACTTAAGAAATGGTTGGAAGAGAGAAAGGATTGAAACAGCATGAAACAGCTGAAACAGCTCTGAAAACTGACCATGCCTCCGGGTTGACTGGACCAATCATTGTGATGATGCACTCATGCTACTGCTACAGGTGCTTTGAGGCTCCAAGACAGCATCTAAAGGTCCTAGACAGCATTGTGTATGACGATGACCCAGAAAGTATCAAAATCTCATTTGGCAAAAGTTTTTTCTCGAGTTGGCGAAAGTATTGTTTTTTTGGCGAAAGATCTGGCGAAAGATTAAATATGTACTTTTTTATGAATGTTCATTTGCTTCCTGAACAGCTGGTGGCAGTGACTCAGAAGTTAGATGAGCTGTGGAAGTTAGATAACCTGCTGCTGCTGCTACTACTACTGCTACTCCTACTGCTACTACTACTACTACTACGACCACGACTACCACTACCACTACCACTACCACTACTACTACCACTACTACTTCTACTACTTCCATTACTACTACTTCTGTTACTACTACTTCCATTACTTCTACTTCTACTACTACTCCTACTGCTCCTGCTCCTGCTCCTGCTCCTTCTTTGGGGGGGTGGCTTTGCCACAAAACTCTACCCCGCAAAAGGCGAAAGTTTGGCGAAAATTCAGCTCAAGATTGGCGAAAGTTCACCCTGCCACATCTGACCCCCAGCCCATTATGAGTAAGTTTGAGTGACCGGCTGCTACAGTGATTCTTCCATTTTTTATTCTTGCTGACACCCAGGAGAAACAAAAGAGATGTACAGGGTGTCAACAGTTTAAGTAGAAGACACGTGCTGACAAACAGTGAAGTTTCTATTTTGTGTTTGCCAGCAAAGAAGAAGCCATTGACGTGAACAAAGCACAACAGACATGGCACACATAAATACAACATACTTCGGCGAAAGATCAAACGCAGGAAGGCGAAAGTTTGGCTAAAGTAATTGTTTTTTGGCGTTAAATGACGGATCCCAGATAAAGGAATTTAGATCAACTCCCACATGTGCAAAGGCTGCCAGACCCTGAAAAGTGTAGAGGGTCATGGCTAGGAGTCAAGCGTAGAGCTGTGTCCCTTTGTAGTCCTTTGTGCGCACTTCGTGCACGCTTCGCAACTTCACGGATGAACACATGCCGTGGAAGGCACCAGCTGCAGCTACATTGTTGTTTGTTGCGAGTTTGGCTTTCTGTTGAGGGCACGGGCCATGGACAAGACAGGTGTGCTAGACTCTTCAGGTCTGCAGAAGGCTTGCCATGGCATCTCGCTCTCACCATGTCGTGAAGGTGCACTCATCCGGAAGGATGCAAACCTGCTAGTGTCAGGTTGAAGAAAGGTTGGAGGACGCCTATACTGATTCCATCGAGCGATCAATCACTGGCAGTGCTTGGTTCTTTGAATGCGCCCAGCACACCAAGTGCACCGAATGCACCGAGTCTGAATACACTGAATGTATATACCAAGTGCTTCCAGTCAGTGATCGCCCATGTAAACAACGCACTGTGAGTCGTGTTATGGACTGTTTGAGATCACTCTGTGGTATGGGTGGCTTGAGTTTGCGAGCAGGGTTGGGGAGCTTGATTACACAGAACAGGCTTGCCGGCCTCGCGGCCAGGAGAGCTCCAAGATGTCCAAAGATTTTGGTTCCACTGATCGATGGCACCGCGACTGCCACGATACACTTTATACTTCTATATAATATATATATATAGTCATTGTATAGCCTTCTGACTCGCGACAAACGGCCCATTCTTTGAGCTCCATTTGAGCTCAGTGTGGGCACTCTAAACCCTCAAAGCCTGCCTCTGAGGTCCATGCTTGCAAACTATTGTTTGAGCTTGGTGTTGGGCAAAGACTTTCAAGTCTGAGAGTTTGGCGTGCCCGGTTCTTGTCCCTTTTGTAAGCCAGCACGAAAGGTTTCTTGGGAGTGTGAGACCATTGTGCGCGGTCCAGTGTGCAGGTATTTCTCACGTGTAAGACTTGGACTCACAACCAAAAGCGAAGGCCAGCAGAGAGGGGTGGCCGTGGAGATTGCCCACAATAGCTGGCTTGAAAACAAACGTTTGACAGCTAGGGTCGGCATCAATGTTTAGATGTTTGATGCCGACCCCCTTCACCTTGGAGTGGCACTCCGGCACCACAGGCAGTGAATATATGTGAATATACCGTAAGATCACTTCGAAGGTATCCCGTCCGCAAAATCTGGACAATTTCCTTCAACAAGTTTCGGAGCATGTATGTGTATGTATATGATGTATGTGTACGTGCACGTGCATGTTTGCATATGTGTGTTTATCTATATTTGTGACTCTTGCTGTAGCAAGTCATTGGGTGGGGATGGGGTGACCTACCCAGTGAATAATGCATGTGTAGACCCCACCCCGGCCAGGTTCAACTCCCCCCTCCGCCCGAGGCCTTGGAGAGGACAATCTACTAGGTCACTTGACTGTTGCCTTCGTCGTCGTCTTGGTCGCCGCGTCGTCTTCGTCGTCGAGTTCCTTGTCCTTGTCCTGCCTGCGTTTCGCTTGTGTTTCTGCGCGCGTGTCGTCTGTGTTTTTTGCCTGTGTTTGGCATCGTTTGGCGTCATCTTTCCATCGACACGTAGCATGCCCGATTGCCTGCTTATTCCACAGAATTTTTTTCCTCCACCTGGCTTCCGTACACCGAACCACGATTTACACCATGGTTTACACCACGCACCCTTTACCACGACCCCCGGTTTACGCCAAGCAGCGGTTCTCCAAACCACGGTTTGCACCAAACCACGATTTACACCACACACTGTGGGGTTCAACGCCCCTTACTTGGCTTCAGGTTTTTGTATATATAGACTTCCAGACCTTGCTAGCTTTCGTCACCAACCCCCGCCTCAAGTGGCTACCCCTGTGTCAATCGCAATGTAGTCTGCATGCATGCATGTATGCATGTATGGATGTTTTTTTCTCCTAAAGGACCTTTTCTGGGTGAACGGGTTGGCTCTTTGGCCCTCGCGGCCATGCCAGCAGCCATGCAAAGTGGTTCTTCCAAAGGGTCTTTGCAGTCTTTCTGTCCATGGGATTGGCAGGGCTTCATGGCCTTGTTTGTGATGCCATTTGCATAGCCAGATGATGTGCTTTGGCGTGGCAGGGACTTGACATAAGGGGCACGTCTTGGGTTTGTCCCCTTGTTTGTAGTGGATGGCTGCTTGGTTCCAGGTCTTGGTGTGGTTGGCCTGGACTGCTGTCAACTTCCGCTGGGCTTGCCGGGAGACTTCCCAATCGAGGCCACTCACTAGGCTCTGGCAGTTCTTCTTGGCTGCGAACCGGCTGGTTCTTTGTTGTGCTGCCTCACGGAACAGAGTGGCCTCGATGACCCACCAATCATCCATGAGATTGATGTGGGCCTCAGTCATGAAAGCTGTCTCGTACCTGGTCCATCGAGCTAGGCTGTCAGTGGTCCAACCCCCAATGCATGAGGTATGCCAGTGGAGCTGCCATAGGTCCCTTGACATGGTACCACGGGTGCTGGTGTTTGCTAAGGTTGTTGCGAAGCTGGATCCATGCCTTTTCAATGTGTGGCCTGTGTTCTGGAGGCCATGTTGTCACCAGCTTGTGTAGGGCATGGATGTGCTGGATGACCACTTGGTCTCCTGGGTCCATGTACCTTTGCTGGCTTGGTCGTAGACTTGTGTCAGGCCTTGCCGGTACCGTGGGGCTAAGCCTTGTCCCTCAAAGCCCCGCAAAGCCACTGGTTGGACTCCTCCCCGGTGCAACCGTAGCCGGGTTCGCAGGTTGGGGAGCTTGAGGGAGCGGAGCCTGATTCGTCGCTGCCGGTTGTTGTGGAACCTTTGCTTGAGGGTGGCGATGCGTCTTCTTCTCTCTGCAGAGTGGTCGATTCCTAGATCTCTCATGACCGTCTGGATTGGAGGGTCGTCGGGTTCGAGGAGCTTGGCCAATGCCTTGTGTGTGGTTTTGTCTGTGATTCAAGTGCGCGTGGGTCTCGATGCTGTTGCCAGTGCTGGCTGGTGTCCAGAAACTGGGGTCAGGTGGGATCACCGGTCCAGTGCTGCTGGACATTTTGCAGTGCTTTGGCCAAACCACGGTTGGGGTTGGTGCTGGATGATGTTGAGACGTGCCTGTAACTGTTCCCAGTATGCTGGTTTGCCCTTTTTCCACATAGCTCCAGCTTTGGCAGGGACTAAGGGTTGTGCTGCCAGGTTGTATGCTCTGCCCTGAGGTGCCCACGGATGTTGTTGGAGCAGGTATTGTTCTGTGATTGACACCCAGTCAGCCAGGCCTCTGGCTGCTCCATTGGGTGCTGCTTCATAAAGCTGGATGTCGTCCACCTGAGAGACGTAGGTGCTCCAAGCTCTGAACCCAATGTCGGGTATGTTGGGCAAGGGTGGAAAGCTGCGGAGCTGCTCATGAATATCAGAAGTCGGCATCCAGTTCCAGGGCATAGGTGACGAGGCAATGTGGACCGCCCAGTCGGCGGTCATGGATGCATGTGCGGCTAGGTTCTGGTGCATGATGGCATAGTCAACGGTGTTGCCATTTAGCAGCGTGGCGTCAGGTGCTAGGGTCTACCAGCGGAACTTGGAGCTCAAGACCGTGCTTTGAAACTGGTCTGGATGGTTGTTCCAGTCGCCCACCATCATGAATGGCTGTTCGAGGCCTGCAGCAGTGCCAGGATCCGTGCCAGCAGTTTGGAATTGGTGTGGCCCTGGAGAGTCTCATTGGTCTTGAAGTAGACAGCAATCACAAGAATGGATCGTCCTGTGGCCTCTCAGAGAAAAGCCTGGTATCCACAGCCTTCAATGGCATAGTGTTCCACTTGAGAGATGCTGTGTGCTGTGTCATGGAGGATCAGGATTCCTCCATGTGTGCCTTCATTGGTGGCATTGCTATGGGCCGGGTATCCAAAGGCATGTCTTCCTCGCGCTTCGAAGTACTGACACATGGAGTGGTGCCTCTGGCTGTCGAGATGTGTTTCCACGAAGACATAGAGC